AGATATGGCCTCGGTCCACATACTCGTTTGCTCAGAGAGCCACACCTAAATCCAGGATCTAACTTGTAAATATCTGAAGACGAGGTTGCTGCACTGCACCATCCCCTCTGCCCTTTCTGGCTCTGGTCATGGTACACCATTGCAGAAGCTCAGAGAGACCACACTGAATCCCACGCTAGCTTAAAAAGTAACTTCTGGAACCCCAGGTTCATTAATTCTTGTCTCCCATCGAAAAGAATATCTTTTTGTTATTCTTAGCCAACTCCATAATTCAAACGCATCCATTTTTCTTCTGTCTCCCATGTTCATCTCCAGCCTTTCCATGCACATGAGGCGAATGAAAATACCTTGGCCTAAGTCAGGCACACCTGAGCCCTAAGGTGTGTTAGGGAGGGTTCTCTATAAAAACAAAACCAGGATATATATATGTGTGTATATATAGAGAGAGATATAGTGGTAGGTTTATACAGCGTGAAGGAATATAACAGTTAATTAGTCCACACAGCAGTACAGAGGGCTGAGTTCAACTCACTTTCATGGAACAGTTAAACAGTTAATAGACTGGAAGTCCTTCAACTCATGGAAGGGGCTTTGATCCAAGGTCAAGGAAGCAGACAGTGGAGTCTGCCCTCAGGCAAGACAGGCAGAATCTGCTGGAAGACAGCAGACAGCAGGGTGGGTCAGCAACAGTCAGTAGCTCAGGTCCTGATGGCATCAGGAACTCAAGCACCAATGTGTATGCACCAGCCGCACAGCTAGCTAAACAGGTCTCAAAGGAGCCTCAAGCTCTGGCAACGATCCATGGGTTGGCTTGGCCCACAGGTAGTGTAGCTCACAAGTTGAGGCAGAGAACTAGTTAGAGCAGCAGCACATTGGTCCAGTCACCAAAGAGCAAGAGAGAGCCATTTATCTCTTTACCCTCCAACCAAACTGTGACCTAATTAATCTTTGCCCACATGTTCCTGCTGGCCAGGTTGGCATAATAAACCTAACTATCACTTAAGGTAACATCTTTGCCTTTTGACACTCCAAAGAGGTCTTTATCAGCCAATTGGCCCAATGGAGTAAGTGTTTCAGTTCCTTGACTGCAGTTTCCATGGGTGTTGACATCATGTAATAGAATGTAATCACATTCCACAACCAAATCTCATGTGAAGCCAGTTGAATGGGAGTTTCATTAGGGGTGTGGCCTGCCCCCCCCCCCTTGCATATAAGTGGATGTTGTAGCAAAGTTCATTTTCTCTCTAGCCTGTATCTTCTTGTCACCTGAACTCTGGTTCCTGGGACATACACCTGCAAAAGTCCCTGGCCTGCAGAGCCCCTCTCTGGCCCGGTTCTGCTCCGTGCAGGCATCCCCCTGAGAATCACCTATGTACGTGTGGATTCTCTTTCCTACCTCCTGGCCCACGAACAACAGTGGTGCCAGGATAGGGCCCTAAGTGCCGCTTCCTGTTGGGGACTGAGCCAACCTGAGGCACGTGGGTGAGATACTGGATCCACGAGGAGCTGGAAGCATTCCAAGTATTTATCTGTGTAAAACAGACTCCTATCCACTCCCATCCCCCTCCTCCCTCCACTCTCACTCCCACCTCCTACCCTAACTTTAACTCCACGCCACCACCAGCAGCACCATGGCTACCACTACCACCTTCCCATAACCTCCACCTCATCATCACCACCATCTACCCTACCCCCCACACCACCACCATCATCACTGACCACTACCACCACCCCATCACCACCATTACCATGACGACTGACCACTACTACCACCCCATCACCACAACTACCATCACCACAGTCACCTTCCCCCACCTCCATCAAGCCCAAATAAAATAAAAGACTCTGGACCACCACAGGTGTGGAGGAGCATGGAGGCAGAACAGGGAGGGTGGGGCCGCTGAAAACAGATGAGAGCTGACATGGCAGGGCCACCCCACATGGCCCTTTGGACCACTCCCTTTCCCCAGAACCAGACCTCTGCCCTTTCAGGGAGGGAAATTCTTGTGCAACCTGGAGCACTGGGGGTGGGGGTAGGACATGCAGGGGAGGTCAAAGGGACTTCAGTCTCAGTCTTTCATTTTTGTTTTTTTTTCTGAGGTTGAAGCCCCCAGTTCCTGCCTCCCCTCCCTCCTTGTGTGGGTGACCCCCTCCCACAGGTCCTGACATGCCACATCCTCTGGCCAGCTGTGGCTGTTGGCCCTGCCCACTGTTGCTGGCGTCAGCAAACTGGCCCAGTCTCTGGCTCAGAACCAGTGCCATCAAGGGCGGGGTGGGGGTGGGAGCGGGCCTTGCAGACCACACCAGGTGACGCTGTCAGAAGGCCTGACACCAAATGACTGTCTATAAAACATGCAGTCTTTCAGCAGAAATGTGGTTTTTAAAATAGAAGTATTCCTTGTTAAGGGGGTGGGAGTGGGGGCGTAGTGGTTGCACACTGGACTTCCATCCACAGGCCAGCCGTTTGAGAGCACCAGCAGCTCTGCAGCAGAAAGACGGGCTCTGCCCCGTCAACAGACAGTCTCGGGCCGCTCACGGGCAGCTCTGCCCTGTCCTGCAGGGCAGCTGTGAGTCAGTATGGACTCGATCACAGTGAGTGTTGGAGAGAGAGGAAGTCCGATGTTCTTGGGTCTCTTCCGCTCAGAGGGACCCTACAGGACAGGGCAGATCTGCCCCTCTGGGTTTTCGAGACTGTAAACCTGCGACTTCTCTGGGAAGTCCCACAATAGTGAGTGTGGTCTAAGCGTCCTGCGTGGCCACGGCCGTGAATTTCTGAACCTGGCAGAGTAGTAGAGAGTGTCGTGGGAGGAATGACTGGTGTCAAAATTGGTTCAACACAAAACATGGTTGGCATATGGAGGTGTGTCTGGCCTCATGGGAATCGACTTTGAGCTGAGGCTGATGTCAGTTCTCTCCCTTTCTGAATTTAGGCCAGGGAGTCTGCCTTGCTGCCGTGTTTTTATAACTTCCTCATGGAGGGACATCCATCACTTCGATCGTATTCTCCTCCGCTGAAGCAAATTGCTCACCATGTCCAGCCGGCATTCGAGGGAAAGGAATCGCAAGGATATGAGTATCAGGAGGCAAAGGCCATGAGGAGTGTCGTCAGAGGGCTGCCTCCTGCATTCTTCTTTTGAGACCCAGCCCAGCGATGATTGGATGAGTCAGGGCAGCGTCAGGGAAGTTGTGAAAGAGTTGAAATGGCAAAGGGAAGTCGAGGGCTCACCTTTGTGAGTTACCGAGCATGTGGTTTGGGGGCTAGTCTTCACCTGTCGTCATAGAACTCAGAGAGTGAGGCAGAACGTTCCCACCTGTCAAAAAAGCAAATGAACGTTGCCTGTGGTGGCTCATTTCATGACTGCCCAGCTGGTGTTGACCGATTTGGCCTCTGTTAACAAGTGCAGGTGACCCGGCCTTTCCCGTCTCGGCTACAATCTCATGCCAGTCCTGAAGGAGCTACAACCTCTCGGCCGAGTGGCTCCTGAATTCCTCACCCACAAGAGCTGTGCGGGGAGAAAAATAATCATAAATTAAAAATTAAAAAAAGAACTGTGGGACAAGGATCGATTGCGAAGATGACTGTCCAACTCTTCTGAGTATGATTACTATTGACTGATAACTTTGTGAATGATATGCCAATTAAACTGCTCTTTAAAACACACACATACACACAACTGTGAGGGATGAACAGGGTTTATTGTTGCTTCAAGCCAGTACGTTTTGAGCTAATTTATAAACAGCCATGGTCAGCCAATCTGGACGTCTTTCGTCAGGACGGATTTGCATGCCAGAAAAGGGCCCTGCTCCCTATGGGAGTCTGACAGCCATCTCTGCCCCTGCAGAGCCACTTCCTGGTCCTTCTGGCAGGGCTTGATGAAGGACAAGCTGTTTGCCAACACCTTCCTGTACAGTCACCACTCACGTCAGGCTGGCTGGTGCTACACCTGGCGTGGGCTGAACACCCCGATTCAGGCATGCCTAGGAGATGGGAAGAGCTCGGATCCAGACCGCCGCAACAGTGACACCTCTGAATACAGCGAGTCACACTTGGTTCTTGGTTTCCCCATGCACGTGGAAGCTGTGCTCACACTCTACTGTGGCCTATTGTACGCGGAACAGCACGTGGGCAGGTCGGAGATACCGTGAGAATGACCAAAGTGTGACACAGAGGCATGAAGAGCGCACATGCCACTAGAAGAGACCTGCCACCCAGACATAGGGTTGCCACAAACTCTCCACCGCATAAACTCGCTCGAGGAGACAAGGTGTGTCCGTGGAAGGAGGGTGCGAGCCAGCCGTCTTAGAAGTGGCCCCTACAGCTCCAGCCACAGCGTGAGACGACCAGCCGTCTTAGAAGTGGCCCCTACAGCTCCAGCCACAGCGTCAGACGACCGCTGTCCTGGCCACCTGGCCAGAGCTTGACCACAGTCCGTGACACACCCTGAACTGCAGCAACCCAGCCCAGCTCAGCACTTCCCAAATTCCTGCCCCGCATACACTGTAAGGACATTAAGTGTTCCTCCAGTTACTGGAAGCCACTAGGTTGTAGAGGTGTTTGCAACTGGACCAAACACTTGCTGAAGGGGAAACCTGGTGTGAACCTGGCTGGGCCACCTGGCATACCTGGGGTATGGGCTGACACGCATCTCCACAGCATCTGGAGCATCAGAGAACATGGCCCACAGTAGGTACTTAATAATAGGCTGCACTGGATTCCTTTAAACTGTCTTCATAGACTTGTGGATGTTCATTTGTATAATTAAGATCGTTTGATGCATGAAATCCAAGATAGATAAAGCCTTCAGAAATAGTAACGGGAGTAGTGATTCCCTGAGGGTAAGGGAGGGGGGAGTAATTACATCATTACTGGTAGTAGTGATGACTGTATAACCTCACTGTATAGCACACAGCCTCGGGGCTGTCCTGGCTCCTCCAGGCCCAGGTGGTCTCCAGGCCTGGGGCTTCCCCAGAGGGACTCCATTTCACGGGCCTGGTGACAGTCTGGGCGCCCAGCCTGTTGTCCTGTGAGCACCCCAACTGGCTGACACCAGATAACCTCTGGCCGCTGCAGTGGTCACTTGGAGGAGGCCTGTCCCTACCGGGGTGCTCTGCAGGCCTCATTGGGGAGGGGTCCAGGCTGCAGGTCCTGACTCAAGCTGGACATCAGGGGCTGTCCCCAGGGTGCAGGGTGACCAGATCGAGTCCTGAGAAGAGGCCGCACCAACAGCTCCACACCAGCAGTCCAGCTTCAGAGTGGGTCATAGGGTTGCCATCGCCCCTGTAGTGACTGAGCTTCACAGGAGGAACTCCATCGTGTCTCAAAGTGCCTTTAACCCCTGCTAGCAGTTAACCCCCCTTCTCCTCTTCCCTTCCCCTGCTCCCCCAACAAGACCTTGACTCTTCCGAGACATCTCCAAACCCTGCCTGCCCAGTTAGCAAAAAATGTACACTGTAAGACCTTGAATTAGCGCCTGCAACAGTGCTGTTCCTCCCAACCCCGTTACCCAGCCAATCTGATAATAATGTAAGGGCTAGAATATCCCTCCCTTGAGCAAACCCCCTATTTTGAACTATAAGAATTTTGGGATTTTTTTGTTCTGGAACACGAGGTTTATAAGTGCTACCCTAGTCTTGGTCCAGCTGCTTAATAAAGGCTTTAATTATTCATATAGTGGTGTAGTTGATCTCATCCATTTATAACATTGGCCCTCCATATAGAATTTCCTCCTGCAGGGGGGCCCCCTGCCCTGTCCTCCCAGAGGGTCCTCTCCTGGGGCCCAGGGGCTGCTCCCTGCTGCACATTCCGGCTGATTTGGGTTCTTGGTGGCTGACCTAGAAAAGCAGGGGAGAAATGGCTGAGTTAGTTGTTCCCAGAAGAGAGGAGGAGTGATCTGAGGCAAAACTGACCCACAACCGACACCCACAGGCTAGTGCCCTAATGTGGTAGTTACATTATCGGGTGCCAACTTAAGTGAAGGGGTGTTTAGTCTGCCAATCAAGCCGTCGCTTGATGACCACATTTGGAGGTGCTATGGAGATATGCAGTTACCTGGAAGCCAAACACACTCTCGCTGCTCCTCTTCGTGCTGACAAGCCACAGGAAGCTATGCTGATAGAGCCTTGGAGCTGGAGGAGCCATGTGGAGACCCCCGTCAGCACTGAGATGCTTCCACAGCCACTGGATCCACAAGACTTTCTACCCACTGGCCTGTCGTCTTCCTGCATTCAGCATCACTGCATGTGTTGCGTGAGTCTGAAGAGGAATTTATGGATTGGTATTGGACATATGGGCTAATATCGGACTTATGGACTTGATCTGGACTGAACTGGGCTGGATGTTTTCTTAAATGCAACTACTCTTTGATAGAAAGTTCTCTCTTACACACACATGAATGTCTATGAATTTGTTTCTCTAGTCAACCCAGATTAACATATTCAAGTACTTCATTATTATGCTGGGTATTTCCCTGTGTAGACATGAGGCGGTATCCCACCCCCAAAAGGGGAAAAAACTCCACCCCATTGTAGTCCAACCCCACCCCCTTGCTAGGCAAGCATTGAGCAATTCCCTCTGAGTTCATGCACCCAATGGCGTCGCCTGGTAGGTTCTTTCTGGTCACAGTGAATTTTTTCATGAAAGCAGTTTTACTTGAACCTCATTTTTTGGGATGGCCGATTTCAGAGAACAGTGTGCAGCTGTGAAATTTTGTTTCCTGCTTGGGAAAAATGCCGCAGAAACTATTGTGACGCTGAACACAGCTTACTTGTATAGTTCAGTGGTTGCCAGGATTTGCGGGGGTGGGGTGGGGTGTAAATGGGGAGTGACAACCAATTGCTATAAGGTTTCTCTTTTTGAGATGAGACAAAATTGTTTCGGAATCACAGACATACTTGTTGCATCGTTTTATTGCACTTGGATTTATTGACCTTCATAGATCCTTCGTTTTACAAATTAAGGGTTAGTGGCAGCTGGGTTGAGCAGGTCCAAGGGGCCACTTTCCAAGCAGTATGTGCTGACCTCGTGTCTGTGTGTCACACTGGCCACTGTTACAGCGTTTCAATCTTGTTTATAATGCTATTGCACACACGAGACCACAGTATAACAGACCACTGAAAAATCAATGAAAGAAGTTATATATCCTAAACCAAGCAGCAGCTCCAGGGCACGTATAACAGGGAAGTCCTTGGTGTTGTCACTCCCTAAGGCAGAGATTCTCAATGTGTGGAACGCCACCCCTTTGGGGGTCGAACGACCCTTTCACAGGGGTCGTCCGATTCATAACAGTAGCAAAATGCAGTTATGAAGTAGCAACGAAAATAATGTTATGGTTGGAAGGTCACCACACATGAACTGTAGTCAAGGGTCGCGGCATCATTGCTTATCTCAATGGCCTTGTTTGCCAGGATGGTCATTTGCCCAAACTTGCTGACCAAGTTTAAAAGGAATTTTACTGCAGGGGGAAGAGGCTGCTACATTTTTGAGTTTTAGCGAACCATGTTGTAACAGACTGGATACCAAACCATGCCACCTTTCCAGTATTGACTTAACAGTGGGCTGGCTCATTTGCTCCTTATATGAATATGCCCTGGGCCCAAAGCTACGGCTCCTTGTTTGCTCTCCTGAATGGGATGAGGTGGTTGCGCCTCATATAACCCCACTTTGTCTGGACCTACCCTGAGGCTCCTACCCTCGAGAAAACCCTGCCTCGCACAAAGAGAGCCAATGTTATGAAGTGGCCTGGCATGTGCATCAGCTCCGTGAGCCAACCTCTCTGACCGCCCCAGCCTCCAGTCCCTGCTGTGACTCCTCCAAGGGCACTGGGAATGCTCCGCTCTTCTTACCCGATTCTGTAAATAGCCCTGGTGGTGCAGTGGGTAAGACCAGACCACAGCTACTAAATGGAGGATCTGGTTGAAGCCACCCAGCTGCTCCACAGGAGAAAGGACAAGTCTGCTCCCTCGGGGGCACTTCTGCTCTGTCCTCTGTGA